ATGGTTATACCAGAGAGGCATGCTGCATGTAACACAGACAGACCTACTTCCATCCAATTTACCCGGGCGGGAAGGGAAGGGAAAAGGAAATTTGGATGCTGTGTCGGGCGCTGCAAACTCTGGGTTTCAAGAAAAGTCGAACCTTTTGATTGTAGGCCGGCTCATATATCCTAGAGCCACCCCATATCCCTCAATGTACCCGTGTACATTCGTGCCGTGTCAACGGTGGCTTCTTCGCTGAAAACCGCCATAAATAATTTTGCCGCCGATGTGAGCGGGCCAACCGAGAGTTCTTTCGATGTTTCCCAACGCGAACTCTCGTTGGGACAGCGTGATGAGTATTGGATCGATACTTCCATCGCATGCCGTATCGAGTGGTACATTTTCTGCTGTTGACACAAAAGGATCCCATCGAACAATATCTCTCTCTTTAATATTTTTTTCCAGGGCCATTGCCTTTGCCTGGATCCTAGTCTGGAGGGGAGGTTTACAACCTCTATAGACCCATATTGACATGATCTTGCTATAGTCTAGTAGCTCCACTTGACCTAAAAGTGGAATCTCGATTGAATCGATTCATCATTCGATTTGATTCGATTCGATTCATCATTCATCAACCCTCGAGCTCCCCCCGTTGGAGGTGCATTACGTGCTACTGGTACATGTACCGGTAGTACCGGTATCGGTACCATAGTCATGGCAAAGGATACGAAACTCTGTCCCCATGTAGCTACTACTAATACGCGTACATGTTTGGACAATACCGGTACGGTGCCGTCGTATCGTCGGGAGGATGAAAGAAAGTCGTTCGAATCAATAACGGTACTGGTATCAACGTATCAACCACCGTTTTGCCTTGTCGTCCTTTCCTGCTGCACAAAACAAAGCGAGCGCCTCCAGCACTAGCTAGCTCTAAAATAAATGGCATGGCTCCAGCGGGACCTCTTGCTTTGCAAGCTCCCAAGCTGAGTGAGGAAGAATGCAGCCAATGCTACCGGTACGTTGTCCTGCTTAGAGAATTGTGTTGCTTCATACCAGTATCATTCGGGAGTGTGGCCTGTATGATAGAAGAAACATCACCTTTGCCCTCTTTGCGCCGGGATCTTCATCAGCAGCAACATCGCCATTGGCACCGCGACAAGGTCGGTTGCCAAAACACAAACTACTCTACCGATACATGGACATGTACCGGTGGATACGAAGTACATTCCATCGATGATGGGATGGCAAGGTACCGGTACAGTAGGTGGCAAGCGGAGTCCCAAAGATTCGTGACACGGAGTGCAACTTGAGTATTTACATAGTGACGTTTCACCATGGGAAATCAGCATCGAAGCATTGACAGATAAACCATGATGTTTGTCAATAATAGATTAACGTGCTTTATAGAGCTCAAAAATACAATAGGATCATCAATCCATGGCTCTCTAGAGCAGCCAATAATTGCCAAACAGAGCTTGGATCGTTGACTTGACGAGCTCTTGCAGTCGCATTTTAAAAACAAGATTCGGATGCTCACGAAATAGAGCGACTACCCATGGTTTAAGAACACGCAACGAAACGTGAAACATTAACATCACGTTACCCATTATGAATTTTAAAAATCAAAGAGACTCCGCCTTAGAAAGTTTCAGTCACAACAATCTGTCACCAATTTGCCGTTTAATTCCTCTCTTGTTGGACTTGCCATTCAGAGAAGTTCCCAATTAGGAGACAAGAATTGGAGATCTGCAGTGGGTCACCAAAACAAGGGGTTTACTTCGAAGTTGGGAAGGCCAACAGCCCGTGACTTCAGCGGTACATACCGGCACATCGTGCACTACACGGATCATGTATCCACTCCAAGTAGCAAGTAGCTCGCAACGTGTAGTTGGCCACAAGGTCTAGTTGCTAGCAACACTGAGTTGGTTCCTAGTAAACGCACTGGGTACTTCTTACCTCGGTTCATTGCAGCCGACAACTTCAGATCTCACAATTTTATCAGCAGAAAAGTTGAAAGCAAGAAGCTCAGCCACAAGGAAGCAAATCCAGCCAGAAACAATCAATTCAACCAACCGAGACAATGAAACTCTATTCTGCCTTGTTTACCCTTGCCTCCAGCTTTGCGGCTGTTTCGACCGAAGCTGGCAGCCTTCGTGCCACCTCTTTGGTGCCTCGCCAGCTTGATGCAAATGTGAGTTTATCATTTTTCTTTTAAAACCTTGACGAACACAAGATGAATTGGGATGAACTAACGTTCTTGCATTCTCTCTTGCTCTTCATAGACATGCAGTTTTGAAGCTGCTGGTTATGATGATGCATACACTGTGCAGTACGGTGGTTATCAATGCATGGGAACAACATGTACTTACACTTACACCATTACCAGGAATGCCCCTGCTAGTGAGGGGGCTGGCCTCAGTCACTGGAATATTGTTACTGGGAATGGATGTGTGATTGAAGCTAACCAATGTGAGGGTGCAACTGACATTGGAGATCCTACCTGTGCCAATGGAGGAGACCCTGATGTTGCCAAATGTGATTCTGGTGGTTTCGATACCCCTGGGACCTCCTCTACAATGACAATTACTGTGGAAAATGTTAGCCCTGGCTTTCAAGACAAAGGATCTGTTTATTTTCAGGCCAAAGCTGGCCCTAACTGCTTTGATTCAACGGCGTCAACCTGCACTCTGCCTGGACCTGATTGTGAATCTGTTGCAACTTTCAGTCCAACATCAAGCCTGTCTCCTAGCCCATCTAATGTCCCCTCTCCCAGCCCCAGCATTAGTCCAAGCAAGCCACCAAGCATCCAACCAAGTGCTAGCCCCAGTGAAACCCCAAGCGATGAACCCAGTCTGGCCCCTAGTCCCAGCCCATCAATTTCCCCATCTGCTGCCCCCTCTCCCAGCCCCAGTGAATCCCCAAGCAAGCCACCAAGCATCCAACCAAGTGCCAGTCCCAGTGAAACCCCAAGCGATGAACCCAGCCTGGCCCCTAGTCGCAGCCCATCAATTTCCCCATCTGCTGCCCCCTCTCCAAGCCCCAGTGAATCCCCAAGCAAGACACCAAGCATCCAACCAAGTGCTAGCCCCAGTGAAACCCCAAGCATCAAACCAAGTGCCAGCCCCAGTTCCAGCCCATCCATTTCTCCATCTGCTAGTCCATCTGTCAGCCCCAGTGTTAGCCCAAGCAAGTCGCCAAGCATCCAACCAAGTGCCAGTCCCAGCGAAAGCCCAAGTGATGAACCCACCCCAGCCCCTTCTCCTAGCCCGTCAGCTTCTCCATCTGCAAGTCCGTCTGTCAGCCCCAGTGCAAGCCCCAGTGCAAGCCCATCCACTTCTCCATCGGCTAGTCCATCGGCTGACCCAAGTGCAAGCCCCAGTAATGCACCAAGCATCGAACCAAGTGCCAGCCCCAGTTCCAGCCCATCCATTACTCCCTCGGATAGTCCATCTGCTTCACCCACTGAAAACTGTGATGTGAATGAATCAGGCACTATGTTTGGAGAGCCAACAAGTCCCACTTCTGTTCGATTCAGTGAAGTAGGAGTAAGTAGGTGGGGTTGGTACCAGCGCATTCCTCAGTTCCTTGGTGAAGGTAGCTATGAGTTCACCGTGTGGGCTGGAGCAGGTCAGTACAATGAGAAAGGAGAAGGAACCCTCATGGGAACTGCCACTGTGCTGGTTAGCGACTGTGGTGTCAGTAGTTCCAGTGATACTATTTGGAAAATCAGCAATGATGAATACTGCATCAATGAAGACACCAACCAGCGTCACGTCCATGTTGGAACCTCCCTCCCCAGACGACTCAGTGCCCCTGGACAGTATGACAGTGGATGCTGTGTCGTTGGATCAGAATGCTTTATCGTTGTCCATGGCGTTACTGAGTGGCATGAAACCGGTTGCTGGAAGTGCGACCTTGCTGCCTAAGCTTTTGGTCAGAAGCAGCCATGGCTGTTGGTCGAACATACATCAAAAAGTGTGCCACTTTTTAAAAGACAGTGTGGCGATGTTCCCGTTCATGTTCTAGGGAAATACTCAGAGGAAATTGAGTTCCGCGATGATAGCACCGTAGAGGTACAGTCGTAGACAATTTCAACTGCATTAGAAAATCAAAACAGAATTCTACTTGCATTCGAAGCTTGCCAATCAAGCTGTTAGATTTTCAGGTGTTATATCTTTAGCCAGCGAGATTCCTACATTACCAGGTATTGGCCCTGGTCTTGAATTGTCAGCCAATTATGCTTCTGAAGAAGCGGAAATGAGGGTTGACGAGGGACGAGGGGTACTAAGAGCCATCAATCATAGTTTTATTTTTTACAAATTTTGAGGAGACAGCTGGCGTGGAGCCATCATGAAATAGAATCCTCCTCCAAAGTACTAGTATGCATGGTATTTTGTCGATTTGATGCTGCCTTTTGACTTGAATACCTCGTTCATTGTCCTCTTTGTGAGGCCACTTGTAAAACAGAACTGTAGAGTGTATCGGTCGCTGTTGCGTTTCGTTCTTTCAACGATCCCAGCTTGTGGACGGTTGGTGGATCCTGCACAGAATCGCAGTACTGCATATACAGTTCTCTCATTCTTCGGTTCACTGCTGCCACAAAGATGTAGTGTCCCATGCCAAGAAACGGCAGAATGTGGTCGATCCAAAGATCCGTCTGTTCCAAGAACGCTGATCTGTTCTCGACTTGGAGTTGTTCATCGGGTTTGAACCTCTTGAGCTGGCTCAAGGCATCACTGTTCAAACTGCGTTTTGTTGCTTGGTCCCGATCCATGCTGCTACCGGTATGTTGGCTCAGCCAGAGGTTTCGATGGCTTGACTGTGTCCGGTAACACCTTACTTTGCTAAGTTCGCGGTTGACCGCTCCCCCGAAGGGCCATTTCCTTGCAGTGCACGTTTCGGAGGTAATGTCTTAACCTTGAGTGCACTATCAGAATTCTTTTGTTTTAAGACGGCGATCTGGTGCAGCCTTGGTGGCAGACAACTTCCCACAAGATTATTGAATCGAATGATCAATCAAGCAATGTTGGGCACGCACCAAGCATTGGATAAGAAGGGAGTAGAACACCATGCATCTGGAGCTTGCGGACACTGTTGGAATTGCCTCCCTAGCTACCAATAGTAGCACAATTGCTGCAGTGTGTATTTGTGGATATTATTAGTTCTAAGGTGTATGCTACAAGATGATTATTGGATCACAAAATTAGTGATTTCTGCATCATAGGTAGCATCAGGAGTTTGGTCATTGTAGACAATAAAGATGTCTTCTGGAAACCCATAGACCTTGTTGTACCGAACTTCAATGAACTTGGCATGCTGGCTGTAGGCATTTCGGATTCTCTGAAAAAGTTCTTCCATGGTTTGGGGGTGGGGTTCATAGAAGATTTGGTTGTGGTTTCCGTCCTTACCGGAAGCTTGGTTACCATTTCGGACGGTGACGTCCCAGGGATAGACAATGTTGTGGGGGTTGGAGCCATGGTTGTTGTACACATAGGCATAGTTGTAGATGTGCTTAGACTTCCACTGAGCTTCTGCTTGAGCAACCTGTTGAATGGGCGTGGGGTTGCGGTTTGTAAGTGGGCTCACTTGGTGGATCGGAACAACATTGGTAAGATCAACATCATAGACAACACCATTGGCTAACACAACATAGATGGTCTGTGGATACCCAAGTTGAGGGTTGTATTGGACATCAATCTGTTTGGCTGTGTTGGCATTGATGTGGCCTTGGATGACTTGAAAGAACTTGTCAATGGGAGAGTGTGTGGTCCATAGAATTTGGTTGTGGTTGCCATCTTTGGCTGTGGGAGGGTTTGGTGGCTGCACTGTGATGGTCCATGGATAGACAGTATTCAAAGGATCAGGCCCCATCTGCTCATAGTCATAGTGATAGCTTGTGATTCCCTTGGACTGCCATAGGGCCCGGTTTCTGTTCAGCTCTTGTTGCTGAGCCTGGAAATGATTCTGTGCTGTGACACCTCCGAGAAGGAATGCCAACAGGCTGAAAATGGCTGCTTTGTTGGATGCAATCATGTTGGTGGTGGTTTGCAGTTGTTTGTTTGTGTTTTTGTTTTGTATTATTTCAAGTTTGTGCTCTGTTAGTTTGTGAGGTTATAGGGGGCGCTTTTTCGGGAATGTGTCGGTGGGGTGGATCAGCCGGGTAGCTAATGTAGTAGCCAGCAAGATTGTGTTCAAGTCAAGCATGACCAGCTTGGAAAGCATGGTTCAGAACTTCTGAGTCGAGTCGCAGTTGACGTTGAGAAGCGCTTGGACGTAACCGGTGCACTCTGTCATGCTACATAGACATAAGTACCTCTTTACCGTGGTTCCTGTGGAGTTGTATTTCTCGAAACATTCTCTAAGTCATGCTTTCCTCACGTCTCAAGCTCGTGCAATCTGTAATCGAGCATAATATCATCTGCATACGTACCGGTGTACCGGTACCGGTATGGTAGCGGGAGGCTTTGATAGTTTGAAGCTCACAAATTCAACAAAAACAAACACAAAAACCCAACACAAAAACCCAACACAGAAACATAAACACAGAAACTAAACAAACCAAAGCAAACACTAAATTCAAGCCGACTAAACAATGAAATTCAACACTGCAGCTATTGCCATTCTTTCCACCTCTTTGGGACTCTTTGCTAAAGCAGAAAACCGACACAGGGCCAGGTCATTGACTGAACGATCCAATAACCCCAAGCAAACCGATTTAAGCACAAACGATCCATACATTTGGTTGGAGGATCTCGAAAGTGAATCATCTCAAAAATGGGTTACTGGTCAAACAAACAGTACCACGTCTACCATCTTGAACCTCATTCAGACAACCCCCCCAGACGACGAATGGCTTGCCTCCTCAATGCCTATCGTCGGTGAAGACAATCCCGGATATAGTCGCCATTTCTCTGTTATCGGAAACAATATCTACGACGTATCAGGCAGAAGCAACATGTGGCAGCGCGTCCCAGTTGAATCTTTTCTGGACTCAACATCAACTGCACAATGGGAGGATGTTTTCAATATGACAGAAATCAATACAGAAGAGGGGTTGTTTTTTACGGGGGCAGATTGTATCCTTCCTGAAGCGCCACGATGTATGCTATCATTTGCGGGAGACTATTCTGATTCTACGGAGATTAGGGAGTTCGATGTTGAAACAAAGTCCTTCGTTGATGGAGGGTTTGTACTCCCCAGAGGAAAACACCTGATCACGTGGAAAGACAAAGACACTCTTTTCGTCAGTTCACCCACCATACCATCTTTTAGAACCAAAGGAGGGTATTCCCGAGTATTACGACAATGGAAACGAGGAACTCCATTGGAAAGTGCTTCAATTGTCTTCCAAGGTAACGAGGATGACTTTGCGGTGGCGGGCGCATCCTTTTTTAGCGCAGGTGCAGTCTATGATATTTTTCAGCACAGCATCCACCAAATCAGTCAGAACGACTTTTATCTCAAAGAGTTGAAGAAGACCCTGATCTGCTTCACATTGATATTCCAGAAGATGCAACCCCTGCACGTTTCTTGATGGGTCACATGGTAATATGGACTGGAGGGGACTGGGCTGTAGATGGCCAATTCTACAATGCAGGTTCGCTTCTTGCAATCCAATTCGAGTCCTTCTTGAAAGGGGATCGCACTTTTGAAGTTTTATTTCAGCCTGACCCTGAGGTTGCCCTTGACAAGCTCTCTGAGCACGGAGGGGACGACTGCCTGGTCTACACCACTCTCGACAACGTGATCAATCGAATGTATCGTGTCACGGTTGACGTTGCCGGAAGATGGAAGCAAATAGAGATCCAGCTGCCTGGCCAAGGCGCAGCGGATGTTGTAGGCCACAGCGGCCAAGCAACCTTCTTCACCTACTCTAACTTCCTCACCCCGCAGGGACTTTTCGTGGCCGACAACGATGGTCGCACTAGAGAGCTAGGATCCAATGCGCCCAGCTTCAATGCCGCTGGGGCCAAAGTGGAACAGTATTTTGCCGTGTCCAAAGATGGCACCAACATTCCATACTTCATCATCAAACCTGCCAACTACGAGGCCAACGGCGACAACCCCACTTTGCTTACTGCTTACGGAGGCTTTGGGATCTCGACCAAGAACGAATACGACGGGAGCCTTGGAACCTTTTGGACTTCCCGCGGGGGTGTGGTAGTCCACGCCAACATTCGTGGTGGAGGTGAGTTTGGACCCGAGTGGCATCAGGCGGCGGTAAAAGAAAACCGTCAAAACCAGTTCGATGATCTGATCAGCGTAGCAGAAGACTTGATTGCTCGCAAGGTCACTTCGCCTCATCGTCTAGGTTTGCAAGGAGGTTCCCAAGGAGGCACCCTCGTGGCTGCCACTGTGTTGCAACGACCTGATCTGTTTGGAGCGGTGGCTTGCCATGTCCCTCTGTTGGATATGAAACGCTACAACAAGCTGACTATTGGCTCCATCTGGGAGGAGGAGTACGGCAACCCAGACACGGATGACTGGAAGCGCTTTATGAGTTCCTGGTCTCCTTACCACAACGTGTTCCCTAACAAGAAATATCCTCCGATCTTGTTCCAAACCAGCACGGACGATGAAACATGCCACCCTGGACATACCCGCAAGATGGTCGCCAAGATGCAAGCAATGGGTCATCCAGCTTACTTTTTGGAAGGTTCAGTGGGCGGACACAGTAGTTCTATGTTCTTGGGCCAGTCACAATCATTTTTGTGGCAAACGTTGAACAAGCAAGAATTTGAGGAGGAAGACTCGACGACTCTGGTGACGGCCGCCGCCAAGCAACTCCTCCGTGGCAAATCAGCACTGGTCTCTCCTCATCACGAAAAGCCCACCAAGGGAACTTCCTCCTCCAAGGCAGAGATCGACTGGGCCAAGGCACTCGACAATCTTTCCAATCGTCTTCAACAATCTTCCCGATCGAGCCGTCAAATGGACAAGAAGGTCTTGCCTGTTGCATGAATTCAATCACAACGAATAGTGTAAACTATAACAATGTAATTGGTCTTGAGAGACATGCACATCTATTACGATACCGGTAGCCAGAAAGTCTGTAGTGGCCACAGGATGATGAGTGCTCTGTTTGCACATGTCGCGTGACAAGTCGAGAGGTGCTTCTTGCTTGTGTGCCTTGCTGTGTACGGTACAAGGGGTACCAAGGAAGTGCACGACCTTGCCACGCAATGAATCTATCTGATCCAGCCGTCAAACGGGCAAGAAGGTCTTGCCTATATCCTCGACACAACCTGTGAAAACTAACTGCAAATAGCTAGCTACTAGTAGCTACCATAGCTAGTAGAACAGAACTCTTTTTTTGAAACTGACAGTAGTTGCCTTTCTTTTTTAACCAGCTGACACATGAACTCTTTAATGACACAAAAACAGTATGAATGAGATGAGATGAAATGGTGCTCTTGCACGTGTTGTCGCGTGACAAAGGAGGTGCGTGCATGGTTTGCTGCGTATTGTTGATTAGTCATTCTTCTTGGCCATGGTCTCCGCTTCCTTGGATGATTCCTCGGTAGTATTCGTATACAGCAATGGCACATCCTTGAGTTTTCGATAATACTGGACACCATCATCATCGGCATCCATAAAGTGACACGTCTTGCAGACTTTCCAAAGCGCCATCAACGCATCCGTGTCATCATAGTTATAAAGTCCCTTGGGTTCCAAATAAGCCCGTACCGCCAGTGTGGCTTCGACGGCATGATAATGAGGAATTTCGTGAAAGACATGATGAACAATATGGGTGGTGACAATGTTGTGACTGCACCAATTCATCCATCCGTAGAGGGGTCGATCAATGGTTCCCGCCAAGGACGCTTTCATCCAACTCCAATTTTCGAGATCAAAATGGGGTACGGACTCGTGCGTGTGTTGGAGCCATGTGACCGTGACCAAAAAGGCGTGGACGGTCATGTAGGGACCAAAGTAGTAGAACCAGACAGCGCGAAAGGAATACACGGTGGAAGCATAGACCAATGCTGCCACTGTCAATAGTATTCCAAAATCGGAAAAGAGTACTTTGGTATACATTTTGGGAGGAAAGAGTCGCGAGTGCGGTCGAAAGTGATCCGGAAATTCATCCTTGGCAATGGGTTTTTGATCGGCGCCCAGTTTGCCACCCGAAATGATCCCCGCCAGATACGCCTGCCATCCAAAATAGAGCCGCGTCCAAACCATGAATCCGGCAAAGGCTTCATCGCCCCAATCCTCATGAATACTGGCATGTCCGGCAAAACAATGGGACAAGACCCCCTGTGTGGGTCCACCCTCTCCAAAAATGGCCACTTGAGCATCGACCACTTCCTCGGGGAGTCTCTTATAAGTTCCATCCGTCTGCTTTTCCATTCCAAACTCATTATACAGGGGAGGAATGTGCGTCTCGCCATGTACCATGTCATTGGTCCGTCGATGATGTTTGGCATGGGAAAACGCCCAGGAAAAGTACGGCACGAGTAGAGCGGAATGACAGATCCATCCGACCGTGCCATTCACCACGGGGTAATCCGAAAAGGCACCGTGGCCGCCTGTGAATATATATCAATGGAAACAAGGAGTAGTAAACGACAATCAAGTGAGATTCAATCAATCAATACATGCCATTTGTTTGTATAGTAGTAGTATAGTAAGTATATATGACGTACACTCATGTCCAATACACCAGAGTCCACCAATGGCATATCCCATGACGACTCCATAGATATTCCAGGCGGCCCGCCACGCCCACCATTGCCACGTCCAAATGGGACCGGGAGGATCCACCGGTAATTGAATGACATGACAAGTCAAGTACCAAATGGCCACACCTTGCAGGATATCGCACCCGACATAGAAAAAGGACCAATGGAGAGGCCGGGTAAAGCAATGCGGTGGAATCACGGCGCGCAATTCGCTCTTGGTGGGAAACGCGGCATTGATTTCACTGATCGATTTGCCTGCCACACGAGGATCGATTTTGTCCGGTGTAAACGGAGACTTCCATTCTTCAGTACTATTAGTATTGCTAGAAGTTGGTGGAGAAGCAAGTTGCTTGACAATCGTCTTGTCGACCGTTGTGGTTCGAGTGGTGGTGGCTTGACCCGACGACGAGAGCGTCTTGACACTTTGACCTCCTTTGCCCATGGTGGTACTTTCGTTGTCGTCCTTATTACTACCGGTTCTCGCCAAAGATCTCGATTTGTCGTCGTCTGCGGAAGAGACTGGATCCAACAGCATTGTGAATGACAACGTAAGTCTGCAACAACAAGCAAGCGGGTTACTATAGTGGTTTGAGAGGGTACAGTACGTAGTCTCTAATAAAACAGGCAACGACGACGATTGCATTGACAAAAATGATATGAACGGAGATCATTGGAAGGCCAAAAGGTCGGATTGGCGCGTTGGCGCACCGCTTCCGTTGGATCTGAGGAGCTAAATAAATCCGATGACGCCAGCATGGCATCAATGATGCATGTGTTTCGCAACGCACATTTATTGACAAGGTCGCACACAAGTGCCTTGCGCAAGATTTTCTCTTCGTCTTCTATTTCAAATCCGGTGTGAGGTGTCAATGACACTTACTTCTTTCAAATAAATAAATTTGCGGTGCACCATACCGGTACCATACCAATCCACAAACCAAACAAGAGAGGCGGCAAACCAAGCAACAACAACAACAACAACAACAACAAGAACAAGATGAACCGCAGCAGTACCAACTTGACAAGAGAGGAAATGGCGAATTTCAAGACGGCTCTGTCCTTGGTGGTCGTCAAGAAACGATTCGAAGCACGACAAGAAGAAGAAGCACAGCGGCGTCGACGACTTCAAGCGCGTCTTACTCCTAGCAATACTAGTAGTAGCAAGAAGAAGCGACCTCCACCGCCACCTGCAGTAGTAGAGGAAACCAAGCGATTGCGGACCATGGACTCGTTGGTCTTTGCGTATGACAATGACAAGGACAACAGTGCTACACCGACTTCTACTACTACTACTACTAGTAGTAGTATGATGGAGGTCCAATCGAAGCAACGAGAGCATTTGGACGCCATGATGACCATGGCCATTCGAATTGCCAACAATAACAAAAACAAGACGGCATTGGATGCCTTGACAAATCATTTGGTGCAGCAAGTCTCCTTTGCGTTTGATGTCGCACACAAAATGAAGCAAACTTCTACTGCGACAACGAGAAAAGCCACCAAGACCAAAAAGAAGCAAAAGACACCACCGGCTCCCGATCAATGGATTGCAGACTGGGCAAGAGACTCGTTGCGGCAACACAAGAATGATGACGAAGACTCGAACGTCGATGCCGTCTTTTGTGTGTGGCAGAGAATGCTCTTTGGAGGACAGCAGACGACTGCGACAAACAGAATGAGAGCATCGTGTCGACAGCTTTTTCTACAAGTCTTTTGCAGTCTACTCCAGGAGTTGCGCATTGCCGATGGCTCGTTGGTCTCGTCACAAGAAAACCCCACCTCTGGTGTTTCTACTACTGACAACAAGAAACAACACACGGCCAAAAAGATGCGGAGCAGTTTGAGCAATCGGAGTAGTGCCAACAACCGCAACAACAATAAAACAACGCAACGAGTGTCATTCAAGAGCACCACCACAACGTACACCATTAGTAGCAACAACCGTCCCATGCTGGCGCCGTGGCAGCGACTCTTTGCCGTGGCCGCCGCCTCTCAACAGCATGCCCACGAAAACAACAACGAGAAGAATCCGTGGCTCGTGCAAGGACTGCGACTGGTCCAACAGATTGTGCTTGTCAACACTCCAGAACAGTCGCCACAAATGCACCATTTGTTGCACCCCATCTCGTTTTTGCCGCCCAACGACTTGATTCACTGGTATACGACCAAGGCGGCAGAACGGCTTCCCGTAGTTCCCCATCGTACGTATGGCAATTACCCCGGGGTCGAGCCAACAAAAAACGGGGCCTTGGGAACTGGAGCGCAACTCATGACCATGGTCGCCTTGTATCAGGCATTGAAACTACAGCAGCAGCAGCAGGAAAATGCAGTGTCAAGGAAAATGTGAGATCACGACGTGCAATGCTGTTGGTGTGTGTGCGCGACAAGAATAATTTCGGCGTCATGTACGTGCTCGGTACCGGTAGATTGGTGTAGACAATATAAACAAACAAGGCAACCGGATCGAGGAACGTACACCACTTTCTCTTTCCTTTGGAATGCCTTACGGTACTTTACTACCGGTAGTAGCGAAATCGAACAATTATTTGAGTAGTCCGTCTTGATAGATAGATAGATAGATGGATAGACGTACGGTAGTTGAAAGTGCCTTCAATTCAACGACAAAGCGAAGCACAAGGATGCAGCGTCATTTTCAGAAGGGTCGTCTCCTCGCGCAAATCCTTCCGAGCGAGTGCCCCCTTTCGTTTCTCGGGGCAGGAACATCAGACACTAAACTAATCCTCTGCGCATCCCTACCGTACGGTACATCGATGCCGCGATCCTGACAGCCTTGTACCAGGTATGGCATGACTGTCACTCGACTCGACTCTCATCGTGCTACCACGATAGCTTTGTTTCATGCGGGACAACCCCACACACTCTCCAGTCCAAACACTCTTTCACCTGCCTAAAATTGGATTTGGAGTTCAACAAACCAATGCGAGCAACCTTTTTGCTCAAAGCTTTAACCGGGCCGCCAGATCTCGACAATCTACAGTACTCTAGCTAGCTAGCTGGAACAATTCCAACTTTCTCGAAAGTTCTAAATAAATTGAGCCATGGGAAGTGGATTGAGCAACGGTGTGCTTCCATTGTTCAAAAGATTGTGTCCTGTCCTTGGTATCAGCGTTTCCAAATGCTTTTGGTATAGATCACCGTAGTTTCCAAAGTGCAACACCATCAACCGAAACATGAGCTTGTAGGTTGGACCAAACAGGTCTACCGTGGGCATCGTAGCGGCATCATTCATCCCAATTCCCTCCTCTTCGGCATGGATCAAACCATACACAATCCATCGTACAAAGTCGGACCATTGCGTTGCATTTTGACTGGTGACCATCGAAAGCATCATATCACCATTATCACCATAAAAGTAGGTTGGGCTGAACTGATAACCCTGCTTTGTGGATGGCTCCAAAATGTCCGCTTCCAATGTATAGGGAATGCCAACAACCACATCCACGATGTCTCCGGCAAGAGCCGTAAAACCTGACACTGGGTCCTCCAAAGGTACAAACTCAATGATATCGGGATCATCAAATAATGCCGCCGACAAACAGCGGCACAGGTCAATGTCCATTCCAGTCCACGTTCGATTATTGTGTAAGAACATTTGTTCCGTTTCTTCTGAGGAGCTGCTGCTGTTGGAAGTGGCAACCTCGTCCACAAAGCCTGGCCGGTTGGGCAGGATTCCACACCTCAAGAAATGTCGTTGACCAATGGCTTCCAACGTATCATTTGCAAGCACGCTCGGAAGGACTTCATCTTGGAATTGTGGATTAAAGTCCAATACGGATAATGGAAGAGAGAACAAAAGACCGCCTTCGTCTTCTGGCTGGTTCAGCAGGTTTCTTCCTGTCCGTTCCGATTTGAGTCCGAACGTGCGGTCAAACATTTCCCCCCAGTTGCCCACGGCAGAAATGGCGTGACGGAACATGTCTTTCATGTCGGGTCCAAACAATTCGGTTTGGGGGAATAAACTGGCATTGGCTTGGGTAATGTGTTGCGACTCGGCCGTCAACAGTGCTTGCAACACGGCATTGCAAAAGTCCGTCCACAGTGGATCGTCGCCGCGGGTTGCCATGGCCAATGGATCTTTGGAAAAAAAGACGGATCCCATGACGTAATCCCCGGTGTATCCTTGACTCCGGACCCGATCTTCGGTAATGTATTGTGGCTCTCCCGCCAACACGTTGCAACTGCCTTCGTAGATTGCCGGGAATAAATTCTCGACACCATTCACCAAATGAATGGCCGATCCGTCCAAAAGTTCCTGAATGATATCATTGGTCGTCGATCCTTCGTCCGTACAGACAATCAAATCTTTACAAACACCGGTCAGTGTATCTCCGCGATTGGCACAATCGACCAAATCGGCAGGCCCTGCCACGACGGCTCCGGTATAATACCAGGGGGCGGAAAACGATTTTGGCATTTGGGAGGCTTCTTCATATACATCTCGTGCCATGTTGTAAGTGACTTGTCCGGTGGAGACATCGACCGTGGTATTATCGAGGGCATTCCAAAGATCTCGAAATGTCATGAAGACGTACTCGGTGCGATTGTTGCTCGTGTCTTGACCAAAGAGGGCCGCCGACAGTGCCTTGCAGAGCTCGACACTCAATCCGTGGCCTTGTGCCATTTCATAATTTTCCCCGCGGCATCGAAGGGAACCTCGTTCTCGGACCATTTTCAAGGTAGGTTGTAGTAAGGCGTCACTTGTTGTGCTGCTGCTGCTATTATCGATGGTGGACCCGATCATCGTACCATCGGATCCAAAAATCACAACATCGGGGTTGTCGTCACCACCGTTGGTGGCCACCACAACTCCAACGACAACAATCACAACAATGAGGACGGCGGCTATCCCCACGGCGGCGCATTTGACAATTTTCGCAGCGTTTTCATTTTGCGTGACGATTTCAGCCGTCGGCAAATTGCGGAAACTCTCCAATTGATTGCGTAGCATTTCATTGTCGTCTTCATCTGTAACAAGACGCGCCGTGACATTGGTGGCAATATAGGAGGATGTAATCCCGTCCTGACCTCGAGATGTTCTTGGTCCTCCCATTAGGTTACCCGAGGATCGTCGAGTCATCAAGTGTAGTAGGTTACCGGACGACCGTCGACGACGATTGAACGATGGAATTTGCAATCGCAAATTGCGACTGGGTGCTCGTTCTACGGGAAAGGCTCCCGGATTGGAAGGAGCCGGGGGTGGCGCCAGGGAGGGGAGAGGCATGATATCCTCCACGTCTGACAGCGCCTCGCTGTACTGATTGATCAAATGCAGACTATGCAGACTGTGCAACACGGGATGACGTCCAATAGCATTGTCGGGAGTGCCTCTGGCAATAACATTGTCTGGAGAGCTGCGACCGTTATTACTTCGGTATGAGTCTTTGACGTCCGAGTTGCCCCTGGCAACGGCGTCGTCCGAATTGCCAGCACTTTGACCACGGTATGCATCTTTGGAAATTCCTTCGTGGTGGCTGTGACCACTCATTCGGTACGCTGCTTTGGAAATAGCTTCTTCTGGGTCGGGATGGTCATTGTTTGCTCTCTTTGCAAGATTACTTGCTTCTTCAGTCTTGGCTTCATCGTCCTGACAATCACTGGCCTCGTCGATGCGTGCAATTGTGGGCTGTTTCTCCATCCTGGGTGGCGCTTGTGCTTCACTAGAAGGCACTACAGCAAAGGCTCCCGCTCTTGCCACGCCTCCATCTGACACAGACTTTTTCTTCTCATCAGCATCCGATTTTTTACTTCGGTATGCCTCTTTGACGTTCGAGTTGCCAGAGGTGCCTACATCGTCCGGATTGTCAGCACTGTGACCACAGTACGCCTCTTTGGAAATTCCCTCGTGGAGGCTGTGACCGTTTGTTCCGTACGCTGCTTTGGAAATAGCTGCTTCTGTGTTGGGTTGGTCATCCGTTGCTCTCTTGGCAACATTACTTGCTTCTTCAGTCTTGGCTTCATCATCCTGACAATCATCGGCGTCGTCGATGCGTGCAATTGTGGGCTGTTTCTCCATCCTGGGTGGCGCTTGTGCTTCACTAGAAGGCGATACGGGGAAGGCTCCGACTTTTGCCATGCCTCCACCTGACACCGACTTTTTCTTCTCGGCAGCGTCCGACTCCGCCATTGCCGCCGTCGTTTCTTTGTTGGTCTCCTTCTCGCTCATGGTTTTTGCCTATGGTGGCATCTCTCTCACTACTCTGTGCTACTCCACTACTTGCATAGCGAGTTATTCACCTTCGGTTTTGTGGGTTTCCTGGCTTTCTTCCAGTATCAAACAGGTATTGCCAGCACTACCGTAGTAGCTGGATATTGGGGGATGGAGAAAATCATTTTCGATATTTGCCCTCGTGAGTACTACCATAACCCGAAGACAGTGCTAAACAGAGGTACAGTAGCAAAGAGTGGCAAATAATTTTGGAAACAGTGGTTAGAGAGGGGGAAGCCTTCTTGTATGCATAGTGGTCTGCAATGGATTACTCCAACCCCCTGAGTATTACTCCAATGTGGAGACTTCCCCGGAAAGTGAGTTGTAACCGGTACTGTACCGTCAGATGGAGTTCCAGATGTTCCTGGACAAAGTGAACCTGAGCCTAAGAGATTTAACATTACCTTCGCTGGAACATAATTACTGTATTGATGATCTATTGAGGGTTCATACTGGCATTGTGCAAGGTCAGAGATTTAGAAACAATGGGAAAGCATGTGATCGTCAATAATGCAAACATCAAAAACGAGAAGCCAGAAATTTCGGCAAGTCACATGCCAGGAAGCAGGAAGGTACGCACACTGTGTACTGCACGCTCCACTCTCCCTTGGACCAGTTGTAACAGTATGTAACCAGAAGATGCGGGACCGAACCATGTGTCTCGGCTCACAGAATAGATCGTATCTTGGACCTTGGACCTTGGATTGAATGACCTGATGAGGGCTGCAACCATTGAGCTATAGGCCATCTTTACAGTAGCTGCTAGCTGCTGGACCGTACCGGTACCGGTGCAGCCACTGACTGGTCTCGTTCTGGACGTTTTTATGATATTTGGTTCCTCTGCATCTTCTCCTCTTCAGAATTGCAGTACGAGGCGAGACAGTTGGAGCTGGAAGTTCAATGCAGCTACCGGAAATAGGCTGTGCGTGGTGTGTGCCGCATGCGTGGTCCGCTTGGTGCGTACCGTACCGTACCG